CGGGCGGTTATCTGATGACGCGATGAGCGAGGAATAGTAGTTAGTCCTAGCCACCCTCATCGCCACTAGGTAGGATCTAATATGTATCCTAACCTGTGTTCGGTTGGGTTCGGTTCGGCTGGCCCTCCAACTGCTCTCTAGGCTTCTTTTCCGACGCTTCATCTCTCTCAGCTCCTCGGTAAACCAGGGAGCCAATCGACTGAAGCGATTCACTTAATATCTGTGGCAAGATAGGTTATAAAATGGCGTACTTAACAACCGTCTTGCTTAGCACCAGTAATGGCTGGCTCAACTGTGGTTGTAAATTGAGGATGGACCCATAGGGGAAATTGAGGAACCTTAGAGCAGTGTTTCCCAATCTTGGTCACTGGAAGATGTGCGGACTTCAACTCCCAGAATTCCTGGCTGGGGAATTCTGGGAGTTGAAGTCCACACGTTTTCAAGTGGGCCAGGTTGGGAAACACTGCCTTAGAGAGAAAAGTGGAAACAAAGTTGAGGTAAAACATTATCTATTGTTTTTCTTCCTTCTTCTTTTACAGGTTTCGTGGTGGGTCAGGCAGGTTTATACCAATCCCTGGCGATGTTCCTGGTGGCCTACTTCATCATCGGTATGACGGTGCTGTCGGTGTGCGCCATCTCTACCAACGGGGCTCTGGATGCTGGCGGGGCCTACTGTATCCTTCGCACGCAAAGCCCCAAATTGTTCAAAACAGCCATTCCCCCCAGTGGTGAGATTCAGCTGGTTCGCACCACTTCGGCAGAACCGGCAGCTAATTTTTGGTTGCCCAGGCCCAGAATGGACTTCTGGAACTGGTATCCATGCAGAGAACTGGTTGTTGACATATTTGAATCCCACCACTCCTTCCTTCCTTCCTTCCTTCCTTCCTTCCTTCCTTCCTTCCTTCCTTCCTTCCTGTGATAGGATTCAGCCAGTATGCACCACTTCGGCAGAACCAGTAGCTAATTTTTTGTTGCCCATGCCCAGAATGGATTTCCGGAAGTGGCATCCATGCAGAGAACCAGTTGTTGATGTATTTGAATCCCACCATTCCTTCCTTCCTTCCTTCCTTCCTTCCTTCCTTCCTTCCTTCCTTCCTTCCTTCCTTCCTTCCTTCCTTCTTCCCTCCCTCCCTCCCTCCCTCCTTCCGGTAGGATTCAGGTAGTTCGCACCACTTCGGCAGAACCAGTAGCTAAGTTTTGGTTGCCCAGGCCCAGAATGGATTTCCGGAAGTGGCATCCATGCAGAGAACCAGTTATTGATGTATTTGAATCCCACCATTCCTTCCTTCCTTCCTTCCTTCCTTCCTTCCTTCCTTCCTTCCTTCCTTCCTTCCTTCCTTCCTTCCTTCCTTCCTTCCTTCCTTCCTTCTTCCCTCCCTCCCTTCCAGTGGTAGGATTCAGGTAGTTCGCACCACTTCGGCAGAACCGGTAGCTGATTTTTGGTTGCCCAGGCCCAGAATGGACTTCCGGAAGTGGCATCCATGCAGAGAACCGGTTGTTCACCTATTTGAATCCCACCACTGCATTTCCCCCAATCTGAGTACGCCCGCACAGGGGCTGCCAGACCCCGAAGCTGGGGGAAAAATCGATCTAGCGGTAGTTCACCAATAGCGGAGAACACAGTACTCCTCGACTTACAGCCCGGGGTCATGTGATCAAACTTCAGACGCTGAGCAACTGACTCATATTTATGACGGCTGCAGTGTCCCGGGGGGCTCACGTGATCCCCTTTTGTGACCTTTTGACAGGCAAAGTGAATGGGAAAGCCAGTTTCACTTAACAACCGTGTTGCTGACTTCACTTGATGACTGTACCAAGCAAGGTCGTAAAATGGGGCAAAAGTCACTTAACAACTGTTCCGTTTAGCCATGGAAAGTTTGGGCTACCTGTTGCCTCTTCTTAAAGTCTCACTTAGCAGCTCGCTCCTTATGGCAATTACATGTTTTCGCCGAGGCTAGCCCTCAATTTTTTTTACTCTAAAGCAGGGGTAGGCAACCTTGGCTCTTTTATGACTCGTGGACTTCAACTCCCAGAATTCCTGAGCCAGCCATGCTGAGGGGAAAGGGAGAGGTTTCCAAGCTGAGCCATGCTGGCTCAGGAATTCTGGGAGTTGAAGTCCACGAGTCATAAAAGGGCCAAGGTTGCCTACCCCTGCCCTAGGCCTAGGCCGCTTTATGACTCGTGGACTTCAACTCCCAGAATTCCTGAGCCAGCCACGCTGAGAGGAAAGGGAGAGGTTTCCAAGTTGAGCCATGCTGGCTCAGGAATTCTGGGAGTTGAAGTCATAAAAGAGCCAAGGTTGCCTACACCTGCCCTAAAGGTTGGAATTGTCCCAAAGCTCGTTTTTTCAAATGGCAACCGGATTTTCTTCTGTTTTTTTTCCTCTTGAAGACATTTTGCTTCTCTTCCAAGAAGCTTTTTCAGTTCTGACTGGATAATGGGGAACGGAAAGATCGATATTCCTTGCAGTCCTCCTTCCTTCCATCCTCCACCATTCCGTCAGAATGGAAGAAGCCTCTTGGAGAAGAAGCGAAATGTCTTCAAGAGAAACAAACGAAAGAAAGTCCGGTTGTCGTTTGAAAAAGCAGCTTTGGGACAACCAGGATCTGGATGACTGAGAATCTCAATAGAGAAAGGTTCGGATTCTCACCTGGCAGGGAATGGGAAACCCCAATTTCTCCCCTTCCTGGTCTCCCCAAGGTAGCGACATTCTTTGGCCCTTGACCCGCTTGGCACAGACATGATCAGCCGGGCGTTGGGCCCCGAATTCGGTGGAAGCATCGGCATCATGTTCTTCTTTGCCAACGTTTGCGGCAGTGCCCTCTACATCTTGGGCCTGGTGGAGGCCGTGGTGGATGACTTTGGCAGCCCAACAGGTGAGAAAGGCTCAGTTAAGGCAGCCCTTTATGAAATCCCGACAAACATATTTAATAATAATAATAATAAAGTTGGAAGGGACCTTGGAGGTAATCTAGTCCAACCCCCTGCTCAGGCAGGAAACCCTATATCATTTCAGACAAATCGCTGTCCAATCTCTTCTTAAAAACTTCCAGTGTTGGAGCATTCACCGCTTCTGGAGGCAGGTTGTTCCACTGGTTAATTGTTCTGTCAGGAAATTTCTCCTTAATTCTAGGTTGCTTCTCTCTGTTGTGATTCCTTGCCAGCCGATGGATCCAGCAGCTGAGTCTGAGGACTCAGATGAGGAGGAGGGGTCTGGAGTGACATCAGGGTCAGAGGAAGGCTCTGAGAAGCTCCAAGACTTACAGTCGGATGAGAAGCCTGGTCCCTCTATTCCCGCTCAGGCTGAGACACAGCTATGCTGGGAGGCTGAGTTGGACAGTGATGAAGAACAGCTGGGACAAATCCCGGCTGCACGAATGCGCAGGCAAGAGAAGCGAGTAGGAAAGAGGAATGCAATGGGGCGGCTCCAAAGGCAAAGGAGAAGGCATTAGGAAGCCACGCCTGGGCTGAATTATAAAAGGGAAGATGTGGGAGGTGCTGGTTGCCAAAGGCAACCGTTCGTGTTGAGGATCGAGTTTCTGTGGACTTTATTTTTTTGCCTTGGACAGTGACTCAGGTCTGTGAGAATAAAAGGGGCTGGTTTTTTTCTTGCGGTTCCTGCCTGTTTCTTGGAAGAGGGGTTCCTCCTTGTGAGCATAACCAGGACTCACGTAGGCTGGGACAGAACACTCTCCTTGATCAGTTTCCATCCGTTGCTTCTTGTCCTGCCTTCAGGTGCTTTGGAGAATAGCTTGACTCCCTCTTCTTTTTGATGAAAAGGTCTTAGGGTTTCATCAACGGCTGCCCGTTTCATCAGACACAAAAACGGTTTAACATATGGAAACGTCTGCCTTTTCCTCAAATTACGTTCAAAGTGTTGACCGTCACAAATGAACACGGCTTTCCTCCAGATTCCCAGAATCGAGAAATTTGTAAGAACGTGGAAAAAAAAAGAGGCTTGACTAGAGAGCTTGTCTAGTCCAGGAGCCTCCAAACTCGTGAACTTTAAGACTTGTGGATTTGAAGTCCACAAATCTTAACGTTGAGAAGTTTGGAGACCCCCTAGTTTAGTCTAACGAAGAGCAATCTTCCAACTTGATAGCTATCTTCCAATATTTTAAGGGGCTGCCTCCAAGAAGAGGGGGGTCAACCTATTCTCCAAAGCATGATAAGAAGCAATGGATGGAAACTAATCAAGGACAGATCCAACCTAGAATTAAGGAAAAAAAATCCTGACAGTTCGATCAATTAATCAGCGGAATGACTTGCCTCCAGAAGCTGTGGGTGCTCTGACACTGGAGGTTTTTAAAAATTAGATAACTTATTTGTCTTAAATAGTGTAGGGTCTTCTCCTTAGGGGCGTTGCGGTGATTCAGGGGTTAAGAAGCTGGGATTGTCGGCTGGAAAGCCAGCAGCCCGGGTTCGAGACCCAAGTGCCAAGCAACGGGGTGAGTTCCCATCCTCGCCCTGGCTCCTGCCAATTTAGCAGGTCGAAAACATGCAAATGTGAGTAGATAAACAGGTACCACTTTGTTGGGAAAGTAACAGAGCTCCAGGATGTCATGCGGGTCACCTGACCGTGGAAATGTCTTCAGAAAGCGCTGGCTCAATGACCTTGAAACAGACATGAGCACCACCCCCTAAGTGTAGCTAGGGCTAGCAGAGTAAAATCCAAAGAGTCTCCTTTGTACCTTCTCCTTGAGCAGGGGTTGGACTAGAAGACCTCCGAGGTCCCCTCCAACTGTGTTATTCTGACAGCCTAGATCGGGGTAGGCAACCTTGGCTCTTTCATGACTCGTGGACTTCAACTCCCAGAATTCCTGAGCCAGCCATGCTGAGGGGAAAGGGAGAGGTTTCCAAGCTGAGCCATGCTGGCTCAGGAATTCTGGGAGTTGAAGTCCACGAGTCATGAAGGGGCCATAGTTCCCCCATGCTGGCTTAGGAATTCTGGGAGTTGAAGTCCATGAGTCATGAGGGGGCCATAGTCCCCCCACACTGGCTCAGGAATTCTGGGAGTTGAAGTCCACGAGTCATGAAGGTGCCATACTTTCCCTCATGCTGGCTCAGGAATTCTGGGAGTTGAAGTCCACGAGTCATGAAGGGGCCATAGTTCCCCCATGCTGGCTCAGGAATTCTGGGAGTTGAAATCTGCAAGTCATGAAAGGGCCATACTTTCCCTCATGCTGGCTCAGGAATTCTGGGAGTTGAAGTCCACAAGTCATGAAGGGGGCATAGTTCCCCCCCATGCTGGCTCAGGAATTCTGGGAGTTGAAGTCCACGAGTCATGAAGGGGGCATAGTTCCCCCCCATGCTGGCTCAGGAATTCTGGGAGTTGAAGTCCACGAGTCATAAAAGAGCCGAGGTTGCCTACCCCGTCCTAGAACATTAGAGATGTAGTCTTCTTCACACGTGCTGCGTTCATTGGCAAATGTGTTTTAATAGCACGTAAAAAAAAGATATATTTGAACAGATGCAAAATAAAGAAGTGGATAAGATTGCAGAAGTGAGAATGCAAGGCTTCCTTTTCTCTTGGCAAGGCTGGGATTGCTTTCCTAGTCTGGGGAATTGCCAGCATATGGCCAGACCCTCGTCCAATGTGGAAAGCCAAGGAGATGTTATTTACAAATGGATAATGGGAAATTAGTGGGTTGGAAGGCCAAGGATCTGTCTGGTGAGGGTAGGGGAAGTCCCTTGCACGCCATTCCATATTTTTTATTTTCCTTGTGTAACTGACATGCAGCCTGCTGCCTAAATGGCTCCAGGCTCCTTGCAAGGGAACATTAGAGCCAGCGTGAAAAGCTATCAGATACAAGCAAGGTTTGGATTAGGGGAAGTTGAATAATATTCCAGGATTTAGGTAGATAAATCTCTTTTGAGCCTCTTTGTAAGCTGTAAATAGAGAACAGGTTAGTTTAAACTGGCCAACGTGGGGAGCAGGCTTCAACATCAACAACCAGCTTTCTCTCTCTCTCTCTCTCTCTCTCTCTCTCTCTCTCTCTCTCTCTCTCTCTCTCTCTCTGTGTGTGTGTGTGTGTGTGTGTGTGTGTGTGTGTGTGTGAGAGAGAGAGAGAGAGAGACAGAGACAGAGAAGAGGGAAGAGAGGAGAGAGAAAAAAGAGAGAAGACAGAAGAGAGAGCAGAGAGAAGACAAGTGAGGAGAGAGGAAGAGAGGAGGGAGAAAAGACAAGACAGAGGAGGGAGAAGAGAGGAGAGAGAAGAAAGAAGACAGAAGACAGAGCAGAGAGAAGACGAGGAGAGAAGACAGAGCGAAAAGACAAAGAGGAGAGAAAGAAGAGAGGAAAGAGAAGACAGGAGATAGAGAGAAGAAAGAGAAGAGAAGACAGAGAGGAAGAAGAAAAGGAGAAAGAGAGAGAGGAAAGAAGACAGGAGAGAGAGAGAAGAAAGAGAAGACAAGAGAGGAGAGAAGACAGAGAAAGAAGACGAGAAGAAAGGAGAGAGAAGAGAGGAAAGAGAGAAGACAGAGGAGGGAGGGAGAGAAGAAAGAGAAGACAAGAGAGGAGGAGACAGAGAGAAAGAAAACGAGAAGAAAGAGGAGAAAGAGGAGAGAAAAGAGAGGAAAGAGAGAAGATAGAGGAGAGAGAGAAGAAAGAGAAGAAAAGAGAAGACAGAAAGAAGACGAGAAGAAAGAGAAGACAGAGAAAGAAGACGAGAAGAAAGAGGAGAGAGAGAAGACAGAGGAGGGAGAAGGGAGAGGAGAGAGAGAGAAGAAAGAAGACAGAAAAGAGAACAGAGAGAAGACGAGAGGAGAGAGAAGACAGAGAAAGAAGACAAAGAAGAGAGGAGAGAGAAAGAAGAGGAGAGAGAGGACAGAGCAGAGAGAAGACGAGAGGAGAAAGAAGACAGAAGAAAGGAGAGAGAAAGAAGAGAGGAGGGAGAGAAGACAGAGGAGGGAGAAGATAAGTTAGAGAGGAGGGAGGAGAGAGAGAGAGAGGAGTGTAAAAGGCACACAAGAAGGATAGAGAGCAGCGACTCCAGAAGTGTAAAAGGTCTGCATCTTCCTTCCCCCCTCCCCAAATCTCCTCCCACGGTCCCCTCCTCACCAGCAGCCCCCCCCGGAGGAGAGTCACCCCTAGGTGCGGCCCACGTGAAGCAGCGCATCCAAGGACATGATAGCGGGGCAGTGGGGACAAGACTTTGCTCTTGCGCCCCATCGCGCACAGATGATACTGCGGGGCATGGGCGGAGAGCGTGGCCGCCATAGCGTTGCTGGGCTGCCTGGGTGATCTGTGGCGGGCCGTGGAGGTGGTGGGTGGCCCAGTGGGCAGGGTGGAGCAGGGACGGGGATGGGGGGCGGTTTTTGGGCACTCGGTCTCTAAAAGGTTCGCCATCATTGGTATAGGTTCTCCTGCTTGAGCAGGGGGCTGGATTAGAAGACCTCCAAGGTCCCTTCCAGCTTCTGTTCTATTGTATTGTATTGTATTGTATTGTATTGTATTGTATTGTATTGTATTGTATTGTATTGTATTGTATTGTATTGCTCTACTCTATTCTATTCTATTCTATATTCTATTCTATTCTATTCTATTCTCTATTCTATTCTATTCTATTCTCTATTCTATTCTATTCTCTATTCTATTCTCTATTCTATTCTCTATTCTCTATTCTATTTTATTCTATTCTATTCTATTCTGTTTTATTTTATTTTCTATTCTATTCTATTCTATATTCTATTCTATTCTATTCTATTCTATTCTATTCTCTATTCTATTCTATTCTATTCTATTCTATATTCTATTCTATTCTCTATTCTATTCTCTATTCTACTCTCTATTCTCTATTCTATTCTATTCTATTCTATTCTATTCTATTCTATTCTATTCTATTCTATTGCACTCTACTCTACTCTACTCTACTCTAAACCCAATTTTTGTCTACCATATGCAGAGGGGACTATTGGGTCGGCCACACAGGTCCTGCCCCGCGGTTATTGGTTTGACCTCCTGTACGCCACGGTCCTCCTGTTCCTGTGTCTTCTTGTCTGCCTTGTGGGCGCCGGCATCTACGCTAAGGCCACCTTCCTCATCTTCCTCATCGTCATGGTGGTGCTGGGCACGGTCTGCCTCAGCTTCTTTGTCGTGGGCGTCCGGGTCGTGGGGCTTCCCGCCATCAGGGAGGGCAATCACACCGAACTCGTCAACGCGTCCTTCACCGGATTCAAACTCAGCACCCTCCTGGATAATCTGCATGGTGAGTTTGGGGGGGGGGGAAGTCTTCTGGATCCCTTGGCCCTGACTTGAAGGCCACGTCGTGCAACGGTCATTAAACGGATGCTTGTAAGTTGAGGACTACCTGTACAGCCATGCAGCCATTCATTTAGCGACCGTCCGAAGTTACGGCGACCTTGAAAAAAAGTGGCTTACGACTGCGTTTCGCACGTGCGACCATTGCATCAACCCCCCCCCCCAGGGTCACATGATCAAAATTCGGACGCTTGGGGACTGGTTCATATTTGTGACGGTCGCAGCGTCCCGGGGCTGTCACGCGATCCCCTTTTGCGACCTTTCTGACAAGCAAAGTCAATGAGGGAAGCCGGATTCACTTAACAGCCATGTTACTAACTGAAGAACTGCCGTGATTCACTTAGCAACTGTGGCAAGAAAGGTCGTTAAATGGGGCAAAATTCACTTAACAGCTCTTTTTGGGCTCCGCTGTGGTCATACGTTGAGGGCTACGGTGTACAAGATTAGAGCTGGCCAACCTGGCTTTCCGTGGCCGGCTGCAGTTATCCCACATTGAACAGGTCAGAGGCTTGTGAAAGTCTGACACGTCGGCCATTTTTAAAACACTGTTTTCTAATGGGGATGACCGCTTGGGAGGGGTGGCCCAGCTGATGCCACTTGGCTGACCTTATGCCAAGGATTTCTGAGGAGGGAAAAAATCAGACTTCTTTAGGAAAGATGGCTTGTTTTTAAACCCTGATGGCTGCAGCTGGAAGCCCCTAACTCTTTGTTTCTCAACTGTGGCAATTTTGAGATGAGTGGACTTCAACTCCCAGCATTCCTGGCTGAGAAATGCTGGGAGTTGAAGTCTACTCATAAACTTGTCAAAGTTGAGAAACACTGACCTAAATTAACTGTGAAGTGAACAAACCTAAGGCATTTTGCTGCCTAAAAAAAATAGGGTTAGGCCAGGGGTAGGCAATCTGGGTTCTTTTATGACTCGTGGACTTCAGCTCCCAGAATTCCTGAGCCAGCCTGGCTCAGCTTGGAAACCTCTCCCTTTCCCCTCAGCGTGGCTGGCTGAGGAATTCTGGGAGTTGAAGTCCACGAGTCATAAAATAGCCCAGGTTGCCTACCCCTGGTCTAGTCTATCTTGGGAAAGCAATTCACTCTTTTCCAACTACAGGTAGTAAGTCTTACAACAGCTTATTTAGTGACCAAAGTTATAACGATACTGAAGAAAGTGACTTATGACCGCTCTCACAGTTACGACCATTGCAGCTTCCCCCATGGTCACGTGATCAATATTCCGACACTTGGCAACTGACTCATGTTTATGACGGGTTGCAGTGTCTCCGGGTCACTCTGATCCCCTTTTGCGTCATTTTGACACGCAAAGTCAATGGGGAAAGCCGGATTCACTTCACAGCTGTCGTTACTAACTTAACAACTGCAGTGATTCCCTTCACAACTGTGGCAAGAAAGGTCGTAAAACGGGGCAAAATGTCACTTAACCAATGTCTCCCTTAGCAGTTAGAAATTTGGGGCCCTAATTGTGGTCATAAGTTGAGGACAGCCCTATATATGTACAATCAAGTGTTTACAAAATGGAATTCGGGATAATTCCCTCCTTCTGCAGAGAGGAGGGGGTCCTCTACATCTGACGGAGCAGCTCCGCGGTCATTAAATGAGGAAGATTTTTGTTTTTAGGGAGCCAAAGGACCCCACCCTGCTTTTTTTTTTTTATCCTTGTTGTGGCAACTCGGTGTGTGTTGACCATTCTGCTTTACACTGTCCTTTTGTAGCGGACTACAGCGTCGATTACACAACCGGCCGGCTGATGAGCTTCAGCACTGTCTTTGCCGTCATGTTTAACGGCTGCACGGGAATCATGGCTGGGTCGAACATGTCAGGTGTGTGGGAATGCGCCGGGCGGGAAGGGAAGGATGGGGAGCGGGGAAGGTCGAGGCCCTTGGAGGACGCCTCCTTTCGATTGGGGTGCTCCTCGATCAAAGTCTCCCCTCATTCCAGGCGATCTCAAGCGGCCCAGCTATTCCATTCCTCGGGGCACCATCATGGCCGTGATGTTCACCTACATTGTGTACAATTTGCTGGCTGTTCTCCTCAGCTGCACCTGCGACAGGTAGGTGGTGGACCGTCCACCAGGGGGCGCACATATTCTACCGCAATTCTATGTGAGGGGGAAAAAAAAATCCTCTCAGAAGCGTGGACTTCAATTCCCAGAATTCCCCAGCCAGCGCATGCTGGCTGGGGAATTCTGGGAGTTGAAGTCCAAACGCTGTTCTAAATCTTTAAAGAGTTCACTCTTGCACAGCTAGTCCTCAATTTATCACTATCATCGAGCCTGCAGTGTTGGTAGTAAGTCATGGTGGTCCTTAAGCAGGTTACTGCCCGGCGGTGCCTGGTTTTACGACCTTTTCTGTGGTGGTCATAAAGCGAACCCATTGTTCCCCAAGGGCAATTTTCATCAGAAGCCGGACATCAGCACCGGGGTTTGGCAAAAGCGTCGTGAATTGTGGTCACCCGCTTGGCAACTGGCTCATATTTACGACGGCTGCAGTGCCCTGGGGGGGTCACGTGATCCCCTTTGAGACCTTCTGACAAGCCAAGTCCGTGGGGAAGCCAGATTCACTTGACAGCCTTGTTACTCACTTAACAACTGCAATTATTCAGCTAACAACTATGGCAAAGATGGGTCATAAAACGGGGCAAAATTCACTTCACAAGTGTATCGCTTAGCCGTGGAAATTTGGGGGTTCGAGTGGTGTCGTAAGTTGAGGATTATCTGAAACTTTTTTTCGGATCCGTTGTCATTTTGAAGTGTTGCGAAGTGGCCAGCTATAATAATTTGAGGACTACCCGCGGCTCTGACTTCGTACTTCCAGTGACAATCCTAGTGAAGGTAAAAGTCACACCTGACACCGCTCCACAGGCAAAGGAACTGGGACAACAACGTGCTGAAGCTGTTCCAGGAGAGACTCATGTAGATTTTTCTGTTCCTTAAGGCATCTTCCTACTTGTTGGTCAGCCAAGATGGTTTGAAGCTAGTGGCATTTGGGTAACAAAATTAAAGGTGCCTAAGGTTTGTTTCCCAAAAAAGTCTCTGCTCTTGGAAAGGTAGCCTGGCGAGAAAAGCATTTTTCTTAATGAGCTGCTTTTCTTCTGCTCCTCCCTCCCTCCTTTTTCCTTTCTCTTTTTCCTTCCTTCCCTTCCTCCCTCCCTCCCTTCCTTTCCTTCTTTCCTCCCTCCCTCCCT